TTTTTTGAACTGAGAGCCAATGAAAAGATTCATTAGTGCTGCTTGCTAAGGCAAGAATCATCATTATTATTGATAATTCTTAGGGTTAGGGATTTGAACAAAGCCATAAATCATAGATTATCCCACACAGTTTCTTCTATAAGCAAGTTTTGCGCTAAAGATTTTTATTTTTACACTTTATTGCATTATTACTTATCTTTTGAACTGATAAATGCCTTTTGTAGGCGTCTAAAGAGTAGCACCCATTACACCACTGAATGTTCAACAGGAAAATTAAATTAATTATTTGAATGTTGTTCGCATGTATTTTTCATAGTTAAAATAATTTGATATTTTAATGTTTTTGCATAAATTAGATTTTACTAATACATTATTATTGTTGTTGTTATTATTATTATTATATTCACAGTGCATTTTATTGATTTACTTAAATATGTTTAATGTTGAAATATGTTTCAAAATACATTTTATTGTAGTCTATTGTTAATTTTTTTAAATATTTTTTTCACCACTAAATAATAATAACAGTAATAATTTATTATTATTCACAGTGCATTTTATTGATTTATTTACATGTGTTTTACGGTTTTTACAAGTAAATTATCATTAATATTGTTTTATTAATAATAATAATACAATTTGATTGTAGTCTATTGAGACTTTAACGTTATATTAAGTTTACATGTTTAAATGTTTACATAAATTATTCAAGATGTTTATATTTTTTCACCACTAAAATTATTGTTATTATTAAAACAATATTAATATTATATTAATATTTTATCCACAGGTCCTGTTTGTAATTGTTGTTAAATTTATATTGTTTTTTTTGTCAAATATTTATAATTTTTACTATACTACTACTACTAATAACAACAACAACAACAACAATAATAATAATATCCACAATGTATGTTTGTTGTAGTCTATTGTTAAATTGCTATTTTAATGTTTATCATTTATTTGTACTGTTAATTATTTACTAAACTTTTATTATTATTGATAATACTTAGAATTAGTATTTTTATTGTAGTAGTATATTGATTATTCACTTGTTTAGCATTGTGTATTGTGTCAGAAACTAAGCATTAATTAATAATTTTTTGCATGTTTGCTGTTGGTTACTTTAACAGTAAAATAATCTGTATATCATATCAGTCCATCTGTGAAAAATGAATATTAGTTGATCTCCAGCAAACACCTCTCTGATGTTCCACAGAATATATCAAAATGTAGTTCTTAATTGATTTATACAAGATTGTTTTCTCTTTATTTAGCTGCGTTTGTGCTGGTTCTGAAAGGCCAGCCGTGTTGCAAACGTAAGAATGACAGGTTGTAATTTCACACGTTTTATTGTCTGTCTATCTGTCTGTCTGGTTCCCCTCTGTGCTCCTGCATGCCGTGTATCTGCAGACTAAATCACTGCTGTCAGCACAGCCTCTGTGCTGTAACATAAGCAGACTGTCCACACAGTTACGGGAGTATCGCAGAGAACCCAACACGCTCCTGCTCTCTGAGTCTCCAAAAGTCTTTTCAGGACAGGAGAGGGACAGCGGGAGGGGTGGGAGGAAAAGTTTGAGAGCGGTCGAGCCGATAGACAAAGACACAAGGAAGCTGCACTGCACCGGAGCGCAGAAGTCCAGAGTCAGCAACTTCTATTGATTAAAAACTAACCTTCCAGTTTCTCCGCTGCGCTTGCGGTGAGCAATAGAATTTAAACGAGCCGTACGCTAGAGCCTTCCACGCCGATGTCTGGGACATTTCCAACCGGAGTGAAGCCACTCAATCTCACAAATCATTTCATTCCTCTTAACTACATTAGATCATCTACCAGATTAACCTGCTGGAGCATTCTATGAAGCCTAGATGATATAATAAACTATTAATGTATTCATTAATATTGCACATTATTATGTTATATAAATATATATATATTCAAAAATAACCACAGTTATAATATATAGACATAATATGTGATATTTATGTATGCATGTTTTACATAAATGATGTATGCATGTTTTACATATACATGAATACATAAATGCAGTAACAGTAATGTTTATTAAGTATTATAAGACATTACAATAGCTTTATGATGTCTTTTGAATATTTTAAAATGTACAGACTTTATATAAAGTGTATTTGGAGGTATAGTGTATAATAATAAATAAAAAATACCTCATAGGCCTAAAAGTAACACTGAATATGAAGTTATGTGAATGTAGTGCATTATGAAAATATTCTAAATTATTTTAAATAATTATATAGTATTCACATATTGTACGTGTTATATAACAACAACAAAAAAGGAAATGATTGTTTTTACGAAGTGTTTATATAATACCATATTAAAATATGCATATAATCATTTTAAATAAATGCAGTAACAGTAATGTTTATTAAGTATTATAAGACATTACAATAGCTTTATGATGTCTTTTGAATATTTTAAAATGTATCATTTGTTTACAGACTTTATATAAAGTGTATTTGGAGGTATAGTGTATAATAATAAATAAAAAATACCTCATAGGCCTAAAAGTAACACTGAATATGAAGTTATGTGAATGTAGTGCATTATGAAAATATTCTAAATTATTTTAAATAATTATATAGTATTCACATATTGTACGTGTTATATAACAACAACAAAAAAGGAAATGATTGTTTTTACGAAGTGTTTATATAATACCATATTAAAATATGCATATAATCATTTTAAATAAATAAAATTCACATATACATTTAATGTAAGGTGTCATATGTATATATTGTAAAATATAAGAAATATTTACATATGAGGTGTGTATATATATATATATATATGTAATCTGACAAAGAAAAACGCTTTATGAAGCCATATATATATATATATATATATATATATATATATATATTCATTTATTTATATAAAATAATACAATATTTACATGCATGTGTGTATGTGTATATTATATACACACACCTTTATATGACATTATAAAAAATAATACAATTAAAAAATCACTTTAAAGCCTGTTTATATTATGCTTTATCAAATTTTTCATAATGTATGCAATTATTTAAAATAAGTAAAAAATATGTAAATATTTAGCATGTCTATTTACACACTTTTATATGACATTATAAAAATAATAAATATTTACAAATATTTACACCTTTATATGACATTATAAAAATTAATAAAACATAAAAAATACAATTAATAAGTAAATATTTAGCATGTCTTCAGTATGTTATGTATGTTAAGTATGTTATCAATGAATATTATGATAATATATTTATATAAAATAATATTACAGAAATGTAAAAAATAGAACTTATATTAAGTGTATATACAGTATAATGCATTAAAAATGCTAAATATCTTAATTGAATGCAAAATTATGTTAATTGAATCAAAGTTTAGTTGTATAACGTTAAAGTTAGTTTCATAAAGTGTGCAATAATGATAGAAAACAAGAAACTGTGACTCTGGTGTGCAGTCTTGTGTTGTTATTAGAGGGCAGTCCTTCAGCGCTTCATTCTAATTGGCTGAAAACTCCGTGGGCTTAATTAATCACGGCTGCTGGATTGGTGGGCATCATGTGCGCATGATGAGCCGAGCGGTGGGAGGAGCAAGCGAATCACTGAACGCGTTGAATCAAAAGCTTGTGTATTTGCAGCAAGGGCCGGACAGGGCGGATCGCATCATGTCGCTCCGACAGAATGCCGGCCAGAAAGAGAATAGCAAGAAAGGAAGCAGGGAAAGAGGGATCAGAGAGGGACAGAAAGAACAAGGGATAAGGGCCTTGCTAATGATAGTCACGTATACGGCTGTCTGGTTGTCCCTGGCAACCAGACATGATGTAACACCAGGATGAACTTGAACTTGGTGGGAGGAGGGAAGCTGGAAAGGGGAGGGAAGAACGAAGGGAAAAAGTGGGCGAGCACCGAACAACACTTGCTCACTTGCTGGAAATGTGAACAATGGAGCACAGCAATCAATAAGCCCATTTCACTGAAGGATTACAGGGGTGCAGCGCGCTAACCTCACCACTCCAGTCCACAGACGGCCATGTGGCGGAAAGTGCTGCAGAGGCATTCAGAGAGAGGGAACAGATGGACATGAACAGGAAGAGAAACAATGTTGTCGAGCTGAGCCCTCACAGAGTCAAGCACCATCTTAAAACCTCACCACGCTGATACAAAAGTGACCCCATAAGAAAACAACAAGCGGTGTATGCTTTTCTGTTTGCCATTATAATACTGATACTATATGAATGACAGTTCTGGGGGTTATAATCAGTCTTAAACCTTCCAAAGAAGGTAAAAACAAAAGGATTGGGGGTCTTAGTTGACATGAAACTGCAGTCACAACTTTTATATATTTATTTTATTTTTATGTTTTGTTTTGGGGTTTTTTTTTTTGCATTGTGGCGAAAGTGTGTATTCAGCCAGAAAAGAAATGTACGACAAGACCTGATTTTATCCTTTGAGAATTGGTTGAATCATGAAAGTGTTCTTTTTATGACAGGTGGTTGGAGAGGAGGGGTTAAAAATACATTTTGCTTATAAAACATTTATTTTTAATTAACATGCACTGATGAATCTTGCACAATAACATCAGAAACATATTAAGAAAGTAAATAAGGTAAAAAGTAAGATGAAACTAGTATTTTACATATTATCAAGCAGCATTTTTAAACAATGTTTTAGTAGCATTATCCATTTATATATGTGTGTATTTATATATACATAATAAATATGCACAGCACATATACATATAGTATGTAAACAAAAACTTTTATTTTGGATGCGATTAATCGCGATTAATCGTTTGACAGCACTAATATATATATATATATATATATATATATATATATATATATATATATATATATATAATGATGGCAAAAATATATATAGTTCACACACAGCTGATGACACTGATTGTGCATTGAAATCGTAGAACTTGCACTCCAGAGCTCACCGATCTGTTCCTCTCTGTGTTGTTACAGTGGTACCTGGGCTAAAGACTCCCGACACGGACCGGCCGCTCCCGAGGTCACACGACCACCCCCTCTGTCTCCCCTGAGTACGACCCGCAAACATGTACACCAGTCTGAACAGAGAGAAGCCACTTGCTGCCCCAGTACCGGACAGACCCACAGCATGGCTCCAGCAGAACCCCGCCAAGCCCTGGAACAAGAGGAACCGACTCAACGCGCTTACACCCACTTACTATATATCTATATAGTCCATATGTATTCTTCCATATGTATGGTTTACATGCCTATATTCATATATAGTAGCTGTCCAGCTCTTCTGAGGGTGGAGCTCGAAAAAAAAAAAAGAAGAGCTTTCTTTTCTCAGAAACGTGCACGTTTTTTTTCTTCTTTTGTTTGTTTTTGTTGTGTTTTTGGTTCACCCTCACAGATAGACGAGGAAAACGTAACATGACGCAATCAAAGAGCTTCCCGCTTCTGTGCCTGTGGTCTTAAAGTGAATTCTAAGGCGTTTCCAACGCAGTCTACGGCCAAGGGTCGCAAACCCACAACCACCCGGAGGTCGGAGCTCTGCCTTTCAATCACTCGTGTTTTGACGGATCAATACGGTTTTTGTATCGGTGAACGTTGGAGGTTTCGCCTGGGTCAGATATGCCACCAGCTAAAAATCTCTATTGCGTCTGCTGGCCAGGACCATTTCCTCCCCTTTCCACCATCATCACCACCACCATCAAAACCATGTCAGATCAAGAACTTTCAAGGACTCAACCAAACCCATTTTTTCAGTTGTTTTGTGTCATTTTGGGGCAGGCGATGAAGAAGTCATGAACGGTGATGTTTGATACCAGGTCATTTTACGGTATGCTAACGGGAGATCTCCCTCCCCACTTGGAGGCATGTTCATATTTTGTGTTTTTCGTACAAAATTCATCGCGATTCTTTCTAATCTTCCTAAACCCCAGCGGAAGGTCTTTCACACACCAAGGGCCAAGTGAAGGTTCGATCTTCCATAAACTGCAAGAAAAGGTTAACCGTGAATACTGAATTGAGGAAAGTGCAATTTTGTTGGGTAGATGTTGGATTGTTAAATATCTTTGTAAGATAGATCGTTGAAGCGATTGTTGAAAAGTATATATATAAATATATATATTTTTCTTCCTAGTCCGTTCACACCTCCAGGACTCTAAAATATCGGTGTACAAAAAAGAAAAAAAAACACGTAAAGAGGAAAATAGAACAAATAGCCTTGTGAGAAATAAGGGGAGCTGTAATTGATTTTTCTGTTGCTGTTTTTATGTGTCTGTTTGCTTGTTCATCGATTGTTAGCATTGTAGAACAAATATCCCTTTAAGAAATATCAACGTTTAAACAATCAATTTAGTTCATTTCCAAAATGCTACAGCAAATATTTTAATTTAACTGAGCACATAATGAAATACGTAAGAAAATTAGCCGTTTGCGAAATCATGAATGAAAAAATCGACTGTTTAAATGCGAACGCAAGAGGCGAAATACTGAACTAACTTCCTCGCGGACACTTTCGAAAGCGTCGTGCAAAAATGTGAAGATCCAGCTTCCCTCGCATGTAATTTTTGTTGTTTTTTGAGTTTTTGTTCGTTTCCTGTACGAAACATATATATATATATAAATATATACACTTACAGCCTCATCCACCGTCGATCAAAGCTCAGTAAAGTTTTTAAAGAAAATAATCTGCATGTTCTAGTGTTAGTGACAAATTTTTACATAGATTACGTAGAGTTAAAGTAGTGTGAAAAACATTGTAATCCCAACATCGGGCACTTGCCGATCAAGTATTTGTTTGGTCCTTTAAAAATAGGGTATTTTTACTGCTGTTCTCACAATCAACCAGCTAAACATCTCTCTGACTCTTCTTAGGTTGTCGTCATTTCTATAAAGTCTCCCTTCCTCCTTTATTCCCGTCAGAACAATCGTTTTCATACGTACGCACTTCATCGTCCCTTTTCCAACTGCACGAACAATTCCACATCGATGTGCCTTGAGCGATGGTCTATTTCTGAGTTATTGCACAAGCTGCAATGTGGAGATGTGAATATTTTTTTACCTTATCACCCCACCTTCCACATGTAGTCATTTGAAGAGAGTCAAATTAGTGCTAATTGATAATACACAGTATTGCTCTCCATTTAACTACATATCGCTACTTTCGGTCGTCCGTTGCTTCGAAAATCCCATCGTTTACACTTCAATCAGTTGAAAGTCGATCATTCGCCCCAGAAAATGCGTAACGCGAAGGTTTTTGTGTCATCGTGCCCTTTTTTCTCCAATTTAACAGTAGTGTATTGATATTTATGGATGTTGCTGCAATTTCTAAATGACGACTACTTTTTCTTTTTTCAGTCTTCCTGGGTTTTTTTTCGTTCCCAGAGATGAATAATGAGGAAAAGATTAATATGCAATACTCGCTTGCACTCATGTAGTCATTTTTGATTTTTGTTACCACCAAAGTGAGCACTTGACAGGTCAAGTGGCTGAACGTCAGTGTGTTTTTCATGGCCATGACACGAGAAAAACGCCATTGATCAGCCTCACTTGGGTTTCACACAAACAATCATCAATGTTTTCGCATACTTTGTGTTTTTTCGGTCAATCAACCAAGCCTTAAAAACGAGGAAACTTCCTTTCCATCACAAACACACAAAAGCGAACACGTCCAGGACAAAAAATATGCCCAGTTTTTGTACATTTTGACAAAGTTCCATGTTATATTAATTGTTTACCTGTTTATTTTCTATTGCATACATCATTTAAGAAAAAACAAAAAGCAAAAAACTAATTATGGGGACAAATTTCCCAGGCATATGATGTAATGGTTTAGTAGTTACACTTGTGTGGGGGGTTTTTTTAGCGTGATTTTTTTTGTCATTGTCCTTGCCTACCCTTTAGAAATGAGTTGGGCATTACTTTCTTAATCGTCTGCACTAAATATAAAATAATGACAATTGTGATAATTGAGAAAAAAATACAAAAAAAAGCTTCCAGGGCTTAAAAGAGCGAAGGGAAACACGATTGCACGGATTTTTTTTTTTTTTTGTCACAAAAACCTTGTTTCGAGCAGCCTGGCATCTAATCAGCGAGATTGGCTGTGTGTGTAAGATAATGACAAAATTGCACCCTTTTTAAAGAAAGAAAAAAAGAGAAAAATAATTTCAAGCAATAGTTTGGGCAGTCTGTTTTGTTCTCGTGTTGTGTGTGTAATTTAGTTTTTTGGTACAACGTTGGAGAAGACGCTGGAGAAGCGAACAAACCGAATTGATTAGATACGAGAGTTAGGGCGGACGCACCTGAGTATGGGAGATTTGATGTTTGTATATTGTATAGTTTTATTAATTACACTGATTTTAAAGCTGCCCTATTTTATAATGCAGGACTTTTGTAACATTGATTAAATGAGGAAAAACTAGTGTTGTGAATTTTCTGATTGTTTGTATTAAGGCCACATAAATAGAACTGGTTTTGTTTGTCCTCTGAGGAACTGGATTTAAGTTGAAAACTTCCTGATTCCTGTTTTTTGTTTTCTTTTTGCTTTCCTTTTTGTATGTATTTAAGGACTTATTTCTTCTTCGATGGTATAGAAGTACTCCTATACTTGAAAAGTGTAGGATGCCGAGGTGAAAACCCCATTGTAAATGGATGTTACAAGTATGCTGTATGTTTTGAAGGTTATTTGTTGCATCGGTGTTGATGAAGCTAAATCTAGATAATTCTGAGGATGTTGGTAAGAAGAGAGCGTTTTTATGCATTTTAAAATTAGTTTTAGGCAGAAGACAATGACATAGACAGCCAAAGGATGCCCCTATTATAAATGCATCTAGGCATCTTTTTGTGTTCACCATTCCATGCAGGAAAATAAACCGCTTGATATGCAACATGATTCTTTTTTCTTTTCAACTTCTTCATCTTTCTTCCACCGCCCACCAGCACACACAGAGACACTCGAGCAACGTTAAATGACGAGAAGGTCGGTCACGATGGGCCGTCGATAAAGCCATTCCTCACTCGATTCTACATTTCATGTGAAAGCGAGGCCCTCAGGTCACATAACTCGCACGAAGATCGCTTGATGGTGGTTTAAAACACTGAAAAGACATACAATTACGCAAAAAAAGGAAGAACTTTGACTTTTCTTGAGGATAAAGGAACGATGTTCAAAAATAAGGACATTTTGAGTCCTGCATGTCGTCAGCTTTCCCATCCCATTTTGTCATTTTTCAGTTTGGTCTTATTTTGTTCACACAGATTACATAAAGTATTACAAATAATTTGTGGCATTTTATCAAAATCTGAACATTCTACACTTTTAGTGATATTTTAAAGGGATAGTTCTCCCAGAAATGGAAATTGCCATTTACCCTCATGTTGTTCCAAACGTGTATGAGTTTCGTTCTTCTGTTGAACACCAAAGAAGATATTTTTTTAAAATGTTGACGTACCCATTGACTTCCATAGTATAGAAAAAACACTATGGAAGTCAATGGCTACCGTCAACTGTTCATACATTTTTGGGTGAACTATCCCTTTAATACTTTCATTAATGATAGCATCAATTTCATGCTAGTCCTAAAACAGGGTTGAATAAAGGCCCCGCAGGCCTTTATAATTTTTATGTCCCCATTTTTGTGGGCCTTCTTGTTGTATCACTTATATTCATTTGAGGCGGGAACAAAGCATTGGATGGTTTAAGGCAGATATACGGCTTATATCAGGGTACTATTCAATCGTGAGACATTTTAAAGTCTAAAAAAACCAAAAACACAATAATTGAATCAAGTATGCGGCCATTCATTGAAATAAAGAACTACAGATTTGACTACAGGTACACATTTTTTTGTTACGCTAAACACCCATGTTTCACTTTCGGGAGTCGATTTGCAGAACTGGGCCTGATGAGGAGCTTAAAGAGCCTGGGTTGACCTTCAGGGGCCCATCATATGGATAAACGTGTTGTCAGGTTCACTATACCATGAATTTAACCCCATCATGCACCAGTGACGGGTGGCTTAACTGCACCAAACGGTATCATTACAAGGTGCTAAATCTTGCTGATAAAGTGGAGGCTAACTGGAAACGACCCTGCTTTCTGATAGCATAGCAGTGTAATCCGCATGAGAACTATGCACCGACGACACGCTAATCTAATCAGAGTCTGGTACTTGCACTTTTGCCTTCCTCATTTTTTAAGAACTTGTATCGCAATCAAAGGAATAATGGAACTAAAAGCAAACCAGCATTTTACCTGATGTATTTAAGAAGATCAAATGTAGTGCCTGTGAAAAACTGTATTATATAGCTCTGAATATCAAAC